CAGAGCTCTCGTCTCCACAGGAGAAAACTGGTACCAGCTGCAGCAATTCGCTGGGATCCTAATGAAAGCTCGGCTTGCAGGTATTGCAGAATGCATCCTTGGTGCTGTGCAGATACACCACCTGGGAAGGGAGGTCCTGCACACAGCTACCACAGCTCTGCATGCCTGAGCCCTGTATATAGACAGTAAATCTGTTTATTTATGGTAAATCTGCCTGGGAGCAGCTAGTGAAGCCCTGCGTTGAAGATGGATGTGCATCTCCTGTGACACAGCCGCTGCGTGTGCTCAGAGTCTGTCTGAATCGGGTCCGTCTGGCCACTGAGAAATGTTTCAGCACCTGCAGCAGCTGCTGAAACTAGGAGGAAATGAAATACCTTCTTCTGGATTAGATATTGCAAAACCTCTCATCCCAGTCTGTGTGAAAGTTCAACTGCTTCCATTGTTTATGAGCTGAAGGATATTTTTGTCAACTCTGGTGCTTGATTTTTTTTTTTTTAAATTTTTAAATAAGGGTCTGTTTCTCTCTTTATTAGAAGTCTAAAACCTCTTTGTAGTCTTAAAACCAGCTTTTAGCAGCTGGGCTTTTCATTAAAGGTGCTGATAGGTCATGTGTGATCTCCAGTGACCTTCAAGAACAGCAAAGGGCAGGTTTTGATCCTGGAGGTGATGGTGGGAAAAGATGAAGCTCTTCTCCCGGCATCATTCCAGGTGAGGGCCCCCCTTGACTGTGCCCACGGCTCCTTTCCATCTCTCTTTTTGTAGTATCTTAAGGATGATTTGAGGACTTTTTCTCTCATTGCCTTTTCATGCTCAGTGAATCTGACCAGCAGCAGTTCCTCCTGTGCTGGGCACAGAAGGAGAAATGCAGGCTGGCGAGTCCCCCACCCCTGAGCCGTGAGATGTCCGTGTCATCAGCCGAGTCCCCCGCATCTGAGCTGTGAGATGTCCATGTCACCAGCCAGCCTGGACCCGGCGTCTGAACGCGGTGAAGGATGCTCGTTATGCGGCTGCTTCTCTTTCTTGTGTGTGCGTGTTTGTGGCAAGGCTGATGGTTGTCAGACTCTGCAAACGGCTGTGGTGGAGCTGGGGAAGAGCTGCCTCTGGCCACCTCCGAGGGCTCAGACTCTACCTCTGGCTCTCATCGGATGCCGGGAAGGGTCGGTCCAGGCACTCATCCTGCTGAGGTTAAACTCCCTGCATTTAGTTATTCCTGTCCCAAATTGAAATGAAAAGAAAACCCTGGGGGTGTATTCATCATGGACATTTCCCACTCCTGGAAGCTGGAAACAGCTTCAGGGGACTCCCCGCAGCCACCGGGTACCCTGCCCTGTCCTTCCGACCGTGGGCTCTTTGGGCAGGGGCTCTGGCGGGACTCCCCGTGACTGTACCTGTGTGTGACACACACAGGGTGTCGTACACCCAGAGTTGATGGTGACGTTCCTGGAGTGGCAGGAGGCAGAGCTCTGCCTTGGCAAGGCGTGCGTGGCTTGCTTCCAGCAGGCTGTAAAACCACCGCAGTTATTGTGGGGAAAAACCTGGGTTCCCTCAGTCCTGCCAAAGCCGGACAGTTTGCTCCTATACATCCCTTGGGAATTTATGATCTCTTTTCTACCTTGTAAAACAACTGATGAAAAAAAGTAACTGCTGACCTCCAAAAGCAAACACTGATGAAATAGCAGCATCCAGCACTACTTGCCGAGTTTTGTTTTTTTCAGGCAGACCACTCCTGCCCTTCAGTCAATAATGACACACCACGAGGTCCCAGTGTATGGCAGGATGGTCTGGAAGTGGTAGAAGTGACAAAGGAAACTTGATGTAATGTCAGGAAAATGGTTTTGTTTGGGGTTTTTTTTGGTCAGTGTGCTCACATGTACCCAGCGAAGAAGTGGAACGAACGGCCTCATCTAATCAGCTGGTTGCCCCTCCCGACGGAGACGCCCCTGACCTGCTGAGGAGCGCTCGGGCTGATCCCGGGCAACCTGGCGTGGCCCGTCCTTGGGTTTCGCAGATAGCCTCACTTCAGGCTAACATCTGACTCATTGGATCAATCTCTTGAGTAGATTGTTGGCATCAAACTTGACAACAACAACAAGGCAATGACACCGCTGCAGCCACTGCAGAGTCACGGCACCGCTACAGCCACTGCAGAGCCTCGGACAGAGCTCCCGGGACGACACCAGAAGGGGCCGTTCTCCCCCCATGCCTCTGTTCTGCATCGCAGTGACCCTTGCTGCTGCAATCCTCTCTCTCAAGCAATCATTACTGAGTTTGGAGAAGTTTTGCTCATACTTTGCTTTGCCCAAGATCCCTGTCACCAGCCAATCTCTCCCAGAAATCCAAACGGCGTGGCCAGCTCTTCACCTTCCTGTTGGAACATCCCATGACGTGCTTTCCACATCCCCCTTCTGCCTGAACTCCCTGGAAACAGTGAAACCCAGCAAAGCCTTCGGAGCCAGCAATGCCAAACCCGAGGCTGTTTCCTACCCTCCTTGCCACCGCCACCCGCAGTGACGTGCTGCTTGAACCTCTCCTCCAAGACCCTCGGTGCCTTTGGCTTTTCCCACTCAGGGTAAATACATTTAAACTTTTACGCTCTTGGAAATCCATTGTGCTTGGTGTTCACTGTGGGACACGGAACCAGACAAATGTGCTTTGCTGAGAGCCTTGGCTCCCACTGCTTCTGAGAGCCACCCCCCAGAGCCCCGAAAGGCGAGCTCAACCCCACTTGGCTGCCGGGGAGAAGCCCGTGAGCACAGGTGCGATGACGGGGACCCAGAAAAGGGTTTTGCCACCTCGGAGACCGGTAGCTTCTAGATAAGCACCATCATAAGGAATAAACTCGCTGGATGAACCGATTTCCCCTCTCTCCACAAACCCCCGCCTTTTGAGCCCGGTGGTTTTAAGAGCCGATGCTTTTCCCGGATTCTCTGTGAGCAGGGGGATGGAGGGGCCAATCCTGGGGCTGCTGGCATCACCTTCCAGCAGGGCAGCTCCTCTCCGGCTGCGAGCGCCAGGATGTGCCCCGGAGATGCCAACGAAGGGGTTTTCCCACCAAATCTGCACCCAGGACCAAAGTCTCTCTGTATAAATTACCCCTCCCAAAGGAGGACACATACCCAGCAGCAGTGGGTGGAACTGCACCAAAAACACTTCCTTTGACCCCAGAAACTGCCCTCCTGCTCTGCAGGAGCACCTCTACTTAGGAAATACAAACCAAGCTCCTACTCACCGGATTTTCTGCCCATCCCAAAGGAATCTCATTTGGCCTCCTAGTCACATTCTGGGGGTTTCCAGTAGATGAAAAATCTCTCGCAGCTGTTGTGAGGGTTTTAAGAAGCCAGGTGTAACTGGGAAATGAAAGGGAAGGCAAGGCTGTGCCTCTCAATTTGGGTTTCAATAACGATAATGAGCCAATTTAGGCTTCATCAAAGCAGAGGAGGGACGGAGAAGGCGGTTTGATCTCAGGGGTGCCCATCAGCCAAGTCATAACTGAGGCTGAAGGCAGTTTTCAGCGAGAGGACAGGCTCTCCAGGGCTGTAATTATGGTGCCGCCGGGGCATGAGCTGGGTGGATGGGACGCCTGGCTTGGTGCAGGATGGGGCACTTGGAGCTGAGTCTCCATCCCGTATTTACACCTGAGAAGCTTTGGGACTTTCGCAGTTACACCCCAGGGATGTGTTTGTTCATCCTCCAGCAATGTTGGCAACAGCTTCTCCCACTAGTTTCTGAGAGCGGGCAAATATTGAGCCAGCCACCAGAAATCCATTTAAAGGGAAGTATCATAGCAGATGGGACAAAGCAGGAAAGAGATCCGTGACAGCTAACATGTGTGTTGGGTTGTGCCCAATTTGTGTTTTACAACGAGCCATGACCTTCACCAGTTTGTGGGACTGGTGTGAGTGCAGCTCCGACGGGCACGTCCCTGCAATATCGCCATAAACCCACCACCTCCACCCCTGGCCATGTGCCCAGCTCCCAGCTGAGATGCTGCTGCCCCGGTGATATCCCCGACACCCCGGGGTGCTGAGCGGCCCCAGTGACATCCCCAACACCCCGGGATGCTGAGCAGCCCCGGTGACATCCCCGACACCCCGG